AAACCCCTTAATGCCTTAAAAAGGCTCCACCACTGCCGAACCATACTCTTAAAATGTCTAGAAAAACTCTCCTAAAATAAACAAAATCCTCAGAAATTAAGAAAACAAACTAGGAAAGAATCATTCTTTGACTATAAAACATGCCAGCCAACTTGCACGCACGTTTTAGGGTCGTTCCACTTCCTATAAAAACTTGGAACAATATTATAAACGTAGCTTGATCTCTAAGCTTTCCAAGCATATATCACACGACACTAGGAAAAATCGAAAAACTCTTCAACTCTTCAATCTTCCATAGCAGTGCTGTTCTGATGGGATTTCAACTTAGGTTGTCTTGACTAACAAGTCTGGAGCAATTGACTTGGTAGAAAGTTATGAAAATTTGATACCATAATCTTCAATGTATTAGCTTTCTTATTCAATTGGCCTTGTGCTAAAATTCATTCGAAAAGTCAATTTTTTGTCGAAATCCTTCCAAGAGCACAAAATAGCTGAAAAATAAGAAAAGTAAAGTAATAATGCTCTTTTTAATTAACCTTCCTAACAAAAACCAAATATAAAAGGTATAAAAATATAGGAAATAATTCACTTATCAATATTGGAATCAAATCAACTACTCCCCCATAGTTGATCCTATTCTCGATTTTGTGGGTATTTGATTACAAATTTTAAGGTGGAACCCACATAATTTTTGATTCCTTACATAAACTCGAGGGAAGTCAGTAATTGAAATAATTCCAATACTCATGTGTTAGTAAACACATGAAAAGCAGGAATTGTAATCATTCCAATAGTCTTTCCCAAAAAGTAAACATGCAAGTAATGATACTTGAAATTTCATAGTTTAAACTTTTACAATTTTGGATGGAATTGGGTTAAATTCAAATCCATGCAGTTACGTTAGAGCCAATCACTGTGACTTAGATTTGGGCCCAACAAATTCGAATCCGCCCCACAAATCCCCTTATCCAAGATGCACCATAAGAAATCAGACGTTTAAATTGATGGATAATTTAAATTTATGCGATCAAAAATTTTGAATGAGGAAATTTAAACATACTAAAGAATTCATAAATGATAGAAATTAATATTATAGAATTTGTAAAGTTTCTTATTTGGCCAATGGATTTAAAGACGGAATTTAATGTTTATCATCTTAGAATTTTATAAATGACAACTATTTAGATAGAATTGAAAATTGGGATTTCTAACCTCAAATTTTCATGGTCTTTTTCCACGTGGAATTTCTTAGATTTATTTATTTTTATTTATCAAAACATGGGAATTGGTTCATGTTAATTTAAAAATTCTGTTGACAAAAACCAAAATTTAGAAATTTTGACTTTTGTGAAAATTCCAAGTTTATTTTCCTAATCCAAATACAATTGAAGTGTAATATCATAAAGGAAAAAGCTTGGCTCCTTAAAATTAAGGAGGAACTCCTTCTTACAACCAATGTGGTTTTGACACATATTAATTTTTTTTAAATATTCTTTTTCTTTTTTGTTGAAACTTTGTCAATGTTGCTTGCTTGAATTTAACAAGTATCAAAACCCCATAGGTTGTGATGAGTAGCTCTCCTTAACCTTGCTCTATAAGAAAAGGATACTACTTACCTCCTTACTTGTAATGAGATATTCCTCTTTTATGTGAATCACAGTTTAACATATATGCAAAAATAATTTATCAAAAACACACAAAAAAAACTTTTGCATGCATGTCACACTATTATTTGCAAGAATATAAGAGCTCCTACTTATCTGGTAAGGAGATAAATATTTTCCATAAAGAAATTAAAACGTCGTCGTCCATTCTTAATGCACCCCGACACGAAACCCCGGAGGTAAAATGCAGTAAACCAGCAAATGTAAAGAAAACCCCCCTATTCATACCAATCATTTGTATCAAATTTACTGGTTGGGATTTCCGTTGACTGTCTGACTCTGACTCGCTTAAAATAAAAACAGAAAATTGCCTTGAAGTGAGATTCGATATGTTTCTTAAAGGTAGCATTATGATCCTTGTGTTGAATATAACTCCAAGAAGCTCTGAGATTTCTCACTTTCAGCAGTTTCTTTCACATGGGTCTCATTGATACTCTCAATTGATTCTTTCTTTGTTGGGTTCGGATTTTCTGTCAGCTTAGCTTCACTCCCTCGGTTGTGGGTAGGTATTTTTATTTTAGTATTCTTAATTTCTTACCATCTAATCAGTGTTTCTTTTTTACTTGATTGTGGATCTTAATGTTTGGTCATCTCTATCAGTTGTCCAGTTATGGATAGTGGGGGATCATCACTCAGTGCATTTCTGGTAGCTTGTAGGATTTGACTGTTCATGCCTTAATTTGGGCATTTAATGAAGGGATTATTGGGGTTTGATAGATCTTCGTCTTGTTGATGCTTGTTAAGGACTGAAGTGATCTTTATTTCTGGGCCATTCATAGTAAGGACTAGACAAAGTAATTAGTTTTCGTTTTGCCTGAGTGTGAATTCTTCAGTTTAGATGCACCATGGTTGTCTTTTTTCTTGGAAGCTTTTGCTTTTCCTCTCTGACTGAACTTGGAAGTATGTACTGGTGCAATTTGAACAGTAGATGAAAAATAGGGAGGGGAGATTGACTGCATAATCTGAAGGTTTGGTTTTATGGGTTTATGGAATTATAATTTCAGAGGTCTTTTCTGATAGACATTAGAGCTCATGTTTTGCTAATTTCTGTGGTTTGAGATAAGGAGGTTGGAAGAGGTTTTGCTGAATCTCCCTCTTTAACAGCTGATACTAAAATGACTTTAACTTGTTTCATTTCCTGCTGTATGAGATTAGCTGATGTCTAAAATGCAGTTTTCCTTTTATGTACTGCTTTTCCTTTTGGGATTACTAGAAAATGCATAAATAGTGATTTCACTTTACTGTTTATACTTTACATATGCTTCTCCAAACCCTTGCCTTATCCACTGATGTTACTCATAACCATAATGCTTTCCTAATTGCCTTTTCTTTTAGTCTGCATTTTCTTTTTCAGTACGTGATAATCTCTATCTATTGGAGGATGGTTTATGTACCAGGAACTTTGCAGTTGAATGAGGTTTTAAAATATCTATAAATTTATACTTCTAAGACTGACCATAACTTTGTTGAGAAACGCTACTTACAATCTGAAATTTAAGCTACATCACTGTTCATATACACCAATTTATCTAAAAGCATTGGCTGATGCTGTTGCAGGAAAGGCTCTTGAACGGAGTTGGTTGTAACATCTCTCTCAACAAGATTCTGGTCACTGGAGAAAATTCCTGTTACAAGGTGTCTGCTCATACTTTTGATGGAGACTAGAAGAAACATGGTTCAGACACTGGAAGCTATAAAGGGTGGTGGAGGATCCATCAGGGTTGGGACCACTGGGACGGTCGGTTCCCTAATGACAAGAGAATTAGAGTCCATCAAAGTTGCACCTCTGACGCCTGCATCTTCCAGAAGTAAACATCAAACAGCTTCTGTTTCTGTTCCCTGTGGTGCTACTACTCCGAAAAAGCTACAACCAAAAAAATCATGTGATGAAGCTAGTAGCAGTGGAACCAGCAACTACATTAATCAGAGACGCCCTGAAATTTCACAGAAAACAAAAACTCATGCTAAAAAGACTAGTCAGATCCCGATATTGAGCTCTGATAATGTTGGTCTGGATAGAACTCCTAGTAGGCAGAAAACTAGTAAAAAAGGACCTAACATTGTTGAAGTTGTGGACTTAAAATGTGGGAACTCAGATAGAGCATGGGCTGGCCCTATAACGAATCGACTGAAGAAGCTGGGCTTCTCAAAGCTCTCTGAGAACATTGTCTAACCTGGTAATTTCTTCACATCAGATCTTAGATTCCTGTAACTGTATACAGAAATCCCAATTGGTCGTTTGCTGTCTGAAACTTCCACCATACAACATATGCTTGGTAGGATCCTAGTGCCTCTCTTTTTCTTCTTTTGTGTTTTTACCACTGGTTCACAAGCAGGTCTCAAATGACTGCCAGAGGAAACCATGTCTTTAAATTGTGGCTGAGGCGTGTGTGAGCTACATCTGCTGCTTAATTCGAGGCGGCTGAAGTGCTCAATTTCTTTCATTATGAGGGATCCAACAGTGCCTCTGGTGCCTATTTCCACAGGAGCATATGCAGCCATTTTTGCAGCATCTCTGTTGGCAATGTTGCTGGATTTAGACATGTTTGGTTCTGCTGGAGTGGAGGGGGTGGCTTGTGGATGAAAAGAGGTGGTTTGGGGTTCAGTCTTGGGTGGGGAATTTACTTTTCTTTTGGGACATATGATGTTTGGCCTTTGCTATTTCACAAGGATTCTTTGCCTTGTGTTCTTTATCTAAAGTGAACAGCATTTGTTGGGTTGGCTGGTTATATACTCACCTCATTCATGTGCTTACAGATAAAAAGGTAGAATCCCTTAAGCTACCACACCTTCTTTCTCTCTATTTTATTTTATTTTTAAATTTGACCATTTGGCTCTCATTTACTGATTTAATATAGTTTTCCATACTTGGATTATGTTTTGGATTCATTATGACCGTCGGATCTTGCGGAACAATTTAGTTTGATGCATTATCAATCAGTAAAAGTGACGATGCTGGATTTTATTTGCTTTTTTTAAGTAAGTTGTTAAGTTCTTTTCTTGTCTTGAATGGCACTCGAGAGCTTTTGAAGTTTTGGGGTCGATTTGCTTTTGCTGGTCCTATCTCATTTTTCTATTTACGTCATCACCTTTGAAGGGGTCATGGGAAAGATATATATGATAGAATTTCTTGATACACACCATGTGAATTTCTTTCTTTTTCCCCTGACTTGAGGAGAAGGGCATTCATTTTCTCACTTCTTGTTACATCTCATCAGCAAGAGTAAATAGAAATAAATTACTAGCAGAATTTGGTATGACATGAAGAACCATATAATTAAGGTTGCAGGTGGGTCAATTGAAGCTTTGCATAGCTATATGATGATATTTCATAAATAAGAAGGTTGGAAGGCAATAGAGTTGAGCCTTTTTTATTTATTTTTCTTTTTCCATGCAGAACAATTAAGAACCTGTCTCCCATGAGCAGAGCAAAATGGGTCAGTATATATCAACTGCAACTACACTAAATACTCGTTTGGGAGTGATTCTGGCTACTGGGAAGAAGCAAATCCCACGTGTTTTCCAAAAAATCACTTTTAGTGATTTAAAAGTGATTATGGGGAGAAGCACTTTCTATGTGTTTCTCTATAAAATCACTTAAAATGATTATTGACCTTTTTATAATCACTCCAAAACGAGCCCTAATAGTAATTTCACAGTTCGAATTTGGCCTAAAACTAATATCATAATTGCAACCATAGATTTATTCATCGGTTTGTTTCAGTTATTTCCCCTTTCTACATAATTGAATAAATATTTTATATTCTCTTACATATATCAAAGGGAATTGCATACTCTCAATTGAACTATAGTTGAGAAAACTTCTTGCGGTTGTAGATTGAGAAATTTGAGAGAGATGATGTGAAATTCGAAGCGTTTTCGAGATTTTTTATTTTATTTTTTGTATTTATAGTTGATATCCATGTGTGAAATGAAACATACTAACATAGAAAAATGATGAGTGTTAAAATAATATATCTGATTTAGTTCTAATTAGATCAAACTTAAATCAAACAAACTACTTGTCATTTCATTTGATTCACTCCAAGGTAACACTTTTCAAGTGTAAAAACTAAACAAAATCATTTGAACTGGTTAAATTCGCCAAATTTGAGTTGGTTCGGGCGGTTTACGGTTAGTTAGAATAAAATTGACAAAATTTGGTCTAAAGAGACTTAGTATAAATCGAGAATAAAATTGACAAAATTTTAACTATAGGGCCTTAGCATTAATCCAATGGATTTGTAATTTAGGGCCTTCAAATAATGAGTGCCCAAATAAAAGTCAACGAACTCACCATCGATTGGCTATGAAGTATTTCAAATCAACGACTG